TATATATGAGAAGTAAAAGATCTACTTCATATGCAATAATTGATGCAACTGAAGAATTATCAAATGCATTGGCTAATAAAACATTTACCATTGGTATATTCATTGATCTGAAAAAAGTTTTTTTTTTTGATTCTATTAACCACGCAATATTATTACAGAAGTTTGAAAGGTATGAGATATGAGGCATGTCTGGAAGCTGGGTAAAGAGCTGTTTAAGTGACAGAATGCAGTATGTGCAGATGGGTGAGTCTTCATCTAATTGTCGTGTCATTTCTTGTGTTCTTCAGGGACCAGCGTTGGGCCCCAAACTATCCAACTTGTATGTAAATGATATATTTAATGTTTCATAATTAAGTGTGTTGCAATCACATAATTCCATACAATCACTTATTTTACAAAAAAGGGTTATGTGTATCATACATAAGGCTGATTATTTTGAACACACAGACCTACTTTTTCTTAAATCAAAGCTATTAAAAATAGAGCATCTTGTCAAAGTTAACACAGTATTTTTTATTTAAAGCATTTCACCATTTATTACTTGCTAATTTACAAAAGTTTTTTATGCTGCGAGAGCAGATGTACAGTTTGAGGGGCCTATGGAAACTTTTTTAATACCAATGGTCAGAACTACTAGGAGGAGTGTCTCAGTATGTGGGGTTAAATTATGGAATGGTCTGGGGTTTGAACACAATGTCAAAACATTTACCAATTAAAGCACTTTATAAACAATGTTTTGTTACAGTATAAGAAGGATGGGGTTTTATCATTTGATGATGTATCTATAGACTATTATCTTGTAGGTCTTTTGATTACTACTGTTAGGATTATTGTTAACTGTGGTTATATTTGGTGTATATCTGATATATCGTGTTTTTTTATTTTTTCTTTTCACATTTATACGTATATACATAATTTGATAGTTTAACATTAAGAATTAAGGAAGCAGCTATTATATTCCTTTGTTTTAATTGTAACAGACCAGGGTGGGTTTAAATAAGTTTGACTTCTTCCCACTCTGTTTCGAGCAAATCGCTGATTTATGTTGTTAATGTAAGGCGACTATTCCTTGTATGGGTTGAATGTTTCTTATTGCCTTTAGCTCGAAAAAAAAATTCTGGTCGAAGTGAATATAAGACCGCGGGGGGGGTTCCAGTGTCTTATTGGTGTGTGAATGTGCAAGTAGTGTGAAAGCCCTTTTGAGTGCTGCAATGCGTAGAAAAGCGCTATATAAGTACAGTGGAACCTCGGTTTTCATGATTAGTCCGTTCGAAAAAGTCAGAAAACCGAAGCAATATTTTCCATAAGAAATAATGTAAATCCAGTTAATTCGTTCCAGATGTGAAATCACCCTAACAGGCACCCAAAAATATTAACAAAAAATACATTTTATAGAGAATATATTTTTACATACAGAAAACAATGAGAAATAAGTATACATGAGACTAATGAAATGGATAAATGAGCATTTAACATCACTTACCTTTATTGAAGACTCTTGTTGGCGTAGGGAAGACGGCGAGGAGGGGAGAGGGAGGAGGAGAGGTTATTGTTTGGAAGGGGAATCCCCTTCCATAAGGACTTCATATATCAAGGCCCTATCCGGGATTACTTCCCTTCACTCATTTTCTTCCGGGAATTGAGTGGCCGACTCATGCAGACGAGTTTGGTACGGACTGACACTGAACCGACCAACTGTATGAAAACCAAGCGGATATACGAAAACTGGGACAAAATTTCGACGAAAAGTCATCGAAAACCGAACTGTATGAAAAGTAGGGCATATGAAAACCAAGGTTCCACTGTATAAGATGATTTACCATATATCATTGGTGTGCATCATTAATATGTACATTGCTCTTATTGATATGTTTTACAGCAAATATGTTATTATGAACCTGACAAATTTTCAGTGTAACCTGTTGACACTAGCAAAAACATGAGTGCACTTTGCTTTACCAGTGTGTACACGCATTATTTGGAACTTTGACCTGAGAAACTGTAGTAAAAATGTCTGTTTCTTAGGTGGAGGATTCAAGAGTCCAGAAGGTGGAGGTTTCCGGGGCCGAGGGGGTGGCAGAGGCACCCCGAGAGGGAGAGGAGGCAGAGGAGGAAGGGGCGGCAGAGGCGGCTTTGGAGGAGGGAAGAAGGTTTTGATTGAACCACACAGACATGAAGGTTATTATTAATTCAATTCAGTTCAGTTTATTTGTATAGCTGCAATTCACAACAACACTTGTTTCAGGACACTTTATATAATCAAGTCGAGATGTTATACTATTATAAGAAAAACCCAACAAATCCCCCTTAAGCAAGCACTTGGCGACAGCGGGGAGGAAAAACTAACAGAAGAAGCCTCTGACAGACCCTGGCTCTTGGTGGGCGGCCTTCTGCCTCGACCGGTTGGGGTGAGAGAGAAAAGAAAAGCATCAGGAAACGGTATCAATCAAACACTGGGCAGGTTGATGTGGCTGGTGACTCCTCATCAGAAACATAGAGCTCCAGGGCAACCTGCAGAAAGGTACAGGGAGAGAGAGAGACGGAGGACACCCAAATAAAGAAAATCTATCCAACAATGCATGTCAATAATTTTATTAAATTCTGTTCATTTCAGAGGCACCACTGCATGGATATAAACAAATGACATGCCGTTGACTAGAAACCACTGGCAAGGTTAAATACTGTATATTCAGAAGCAGCAGGACAGCCTGGGCCCCTGGTTCACTTTCAGTTATTAAGATGGCTGTCAGTCTTATCCCTGTTCTGCCATAATGGCTGAGGAGCTGAGCTGGTAGTGGGTAGCTCTCTGTGCTGGGCGGGGAGACCTGAGGCAGCTGGCTTTGGAGCTTTGATGGGTCCTGGATGGCAGGGGGCAGAATGTTATCCAGCACCCCCAGGAACTCGACTCGTGTATCTTTCTGGGTTCAGATCAGGATCAGTGTGTTTTGTAATTCAGAGGTTAGTGAACGAACAGATAATGTAAAAAATTATTTCATTAGTGCATTTTATGACTGATGTTCATACACTCACACATTATTTGGGATTGAAAAAATTTTTTTTTCTTCAGTATAGGTAACAAATGTGCATGGTCTAGTCTGTTGATAGTTAATTCCTTAGACTAAAGACAGTGACCAAATTACAGCCTACAGTGTAACACACTGTATCCATGGCTGCATTATTTATTTTTAAATATCTCATAAATTATTAGTTACTGTTTGAGATGAGATTCCCTCCTTTTTTTTCTGGGTGAGTGCGAGGCACCATAATGGTAGCCTGTTACCAGAATAGGTAAAAACTATATTGTACATGGATGAAATTTGATTCAGTAGAGGCAGTATTGTGTCAGCAAGGGCATCCGACATAAAACGCTTGCCAATTGTCAACATGCGAGTCGTCAGTGTGAGGATTTGCTGTGGCAACCCCTAAATGAGAAAAAGCCGAAAGTGACTTTCTTTAGAGGCAGTAAACACAATACATGGACCTGCTGATAACTCAGCTGTATTCAGAGCTTAATATATTTGGGGCTGAAGAAAAATAATGTTAACTGTGATAATCAACAGGGCTGCAGCTACATACCATATACAAGCCCCTTACATCCTGCCTTTTTGAGAAAGGGTTGGTGCGCCTTTATTCAGTATAGAAACAACTATAGTCAGTGCTACCTACAGTGCTACGCCTCAGGTAGCAGCACTGCTAATGTTGGCTACAATACAGGAATCCACACAGTGACTCTCAAAGGGATATACTGTAAAGATGTAGCGACTATCAGAGCTGAATCAGACATCCTGTCTCCAGCAGAGAAAAGTAAAATCAAACAATAGCTTGTCATGGCTGTTAGCTCTGGTTCTGTCAATGCTAGACTAAGCCTCACACATTACATATTCACAAAGGCATGTCTGCTACCTGTTGATCCTTTTTTCACCGTGGTTGCATATTATTATTATTTTTTTTTTTTTTAAATGCTCCGAGTGAGGCTACAAGCAGAATGTGCAGGTCATGTTTCTCTTTGGTACTTGGCAAACGTGGCGTTTGGTGTAATATTTCTCCTGACATGTTTGGCAATATTCCCTACCTCCCAGATGTTTTTTTTTCTTAATGAAGATTAAAGAAAAAGCTATGATCCTACAAAGATGCAGTTTTTTTTAAATATTTGACCTGTACATGGATGACACCTTTTCTGGCTGTGTGGTGCAGATGCTTTATTCATGAAGTGTTACAATTACTAGTCCCAAATATTTTGATATTAATTCATTGGTATTAATTCAATCCATTTTAAATCTTTAGTATTTGATTATTGGAGACAGCAGAAAATTTCAATTCAGCCATAGTCTGAAGAGGAAAGTGAACACAGCTTGGTCTTCTTCTGGTTAAAATGACAACAGACGTGGTCATATCTGCTGTCTCTAAATAACATCAACTCTGTGACTTAAATTGATGACGACAGAAGGAAACTTGCTGTTGACAGGTGTGGGACCTCACGGTAGCAGGTGGAGAAATGGACAACACTGCTGTCTGCTAAGCAAAAAGAGGCAACATTCTGTAAAACCACTTAATAATTAGTGACCCGAGTGCTTCTCTGTATTTCTAAAAACTCCAATGCCAATCAATACATGTGGAGCTCTAAAGCCAAAAAACTGTCATTTGGGGCGCCCTAGTTTCAAGCAGCCATCTGTAGAACTATGAGTCAGAGTATCTAGTGTGTATGTGTGTGTTTCAGGAGTGTTCATCTGCAGGGGGAAGGAGGATGCCCTGGTGACTAAGAACATGGTAGTAGGAGACTCTGTGTATGGAGAGAAGAGGATCGGTGTAGAGGTGAGCTTTTAATTCACAGTAGGACAGTGGTCACAGTTAGGGGTATGTCTAACACCTTTTTCAGATCCAGCACTTCTGTTTACATACTGAATGCTAATACTAGTGAAAAATGAAATGTGAAAATTTAGCTAGGACTAGCTTGAGAATCCAGATTCAAGCACCCCTACTGCACCCAGCCGTCCCTCTCTCTGCTCACTCCTCTGCTCTGGGTTCCACCCAACCCAACAGTATCACAGTTTGGAGAGATATTCAGAAAGTTAACAATTAGCCTTTCATTGGTGGACAATAAAATAATGTAACTCGCTGAGCTGAATGCCCTGCTTCATGTCTACTGTATAGCAACCTCCACTACAGGACAGACGGACATGACGCATCTATAGCCAGCAGAGTTTGTGAACATTGGAAGTGAAAGAACAAGTGTGCCCTGAAAAGGTCATATCGCAAAACACTTTGACACTATCATATGTAGGACACGTGCCAGTGACACCTACAATCTTGTTAGCAAAGCTCAGTGTAGCAATCGTTCCGGTAGCGGTTTCTGTCGATCATTGTGGTTTCTGGTAAAAATGACACCCAGCGGAGCGGGGTCATACCAGCTCTCGCTAAGCAAATGCTAACTTTGTGACCTGAATTGATGACGGGACAAAATGAAACTTGCTGTTGTCAGGTTTGTGGTCTTGCTGCAGCAGGTGGAGAAACGGACAACACACTGTCTGCTATTAGCTGAAGAGCGTTTGAGGTAAAGAGGCATCACTCTGTAACTCAACTGAATAATTGGTGAAGTGAGGAAGACTCCTTTGGAAAAATGACCAAGTTAGTGGGGACAACAACACGGTCAGCTGGTGGGCATCAAAATGATGTAATTCACAAATGCCTGGATATAACTGGCTGATTATTATAACTGAAAGTAGCAACACATTGACTTCCTTAGTCCAGCCAGCTGCTGTTAGTCACACTGGGAGTGTGAAATATTCTTTGGGGTATGTTATATAGTTAAAAGCACAAAGGGTAATGGTTTGAACCTTTATCGTACTAATTCAAATAGTATATTCATAACATACCAGTCAAGAAGAAAGAATGCCAAATCATCATCTGTTTGCAAATCCCTCTTCCCATCTGCTGTGCCAATATAACTGTGACATAATTCCAATTTTATTGCTTTCTTTTCTTCCTTCTCTTCAAAACTCTAACTCTTTAACGGCCTTTCAGTGCTGGCTGTCTCATCTAACACTGAAATCAGTAGCTTGCTAATCTTCAACCATATCAGTAGAGCTGAAGTGTGTTCATGCATTGATTGACAGCTGTGAGATTCCACCCCTGATGGTGGTGACAGTGGTCCGGTGGGTAGAGCAGTCGTCTCCCAACCAGAAGGTTGAAGGTTCGAATCTCTGTACCTGCAGTCCACGCGTCGAAGTATCTGTGGATGCAGTTTTGGATGGATAGTTACCATTTCTACCTTGTTATACATTTAATCACCCATGAGGGCAAAATGAAACTATGGTCAAGGAGTTGTCTGAAAATTAATCAAGAATCAAAAATTGAAATCTTTCTCAGTCTTAATCTCAAAAGCAAAAGCATTGTTGTACCTCTCCAATTTCTGGTCATTTATTTGCTTTAATTATCCTTCAGACGTGTGTAGAACTGAGCTGCAGTGCACCAGTTGCAAAATGAGTGGATTTGAGAACCACAGTAGTGGGAATGCATGGAAAATCTCAAGGCTCCAAATCCATCTGCAGAGATCTGGCTGCTCCTGTGTCCACTGTGTGCAGCCACAGTCCTTCTGAGAGAATGCCCTGTGGACAGATGAGACTAAAATAGAGCTTTTTGGTCGAGCACATCATTCCACTGTTTTCAGAAAACAAAATGAGGCCTTCAAAGAAAAGAACACGTCCTTACAGTCAAACACCGTGGAGGTTCACTGAGATACTTGATGTCTTGACTGTGTGTATGGCATTATGAAATCTGAAGATTACCAACGAATGCTGGGATACAATGTAGAGCCCAGTGTCAGAAAGCTGGGTTTTGTTGTTCCAATGCAAACAAGAGAAATAAACATGAGAATGCCAAAGAATTTGTGATTGCAACAATTTTCTGGGAGAAGTGGTGCGTTATGTGACAGATGCAGGGCTGCTAGTATTTTATTCCATGACTGTAGGTGCTGCACCTCGGCCTTTCTGTGGCAGTGACAACCTTGTCACTGATAATTTTCTTACTTTGTTAGGAAGGAGAGACCAAGATTGAATACAGAGCCTGGAATCCATTTCGGTCCAAGCTGGCAGCAGCCATCTTAGGAGGAGTTGACCAGATCCATATAAAGCCAGGAGCAAAAGTCTTATACCTGGGAGCAGCTTCTGGCACCACAGTGTCCCATGTTTCTGATATTGTTGGACCGGTGAGTACTAAACACTCAGTGGATTTCAAAGACTTGATACACTCAATACACTGAACTGTGACGTCAGAATTCACAATATGGCCTAGGGCTGTTATTTTTTTATTTGAATATCAACATTCATTTGAACTGTAACCTGTTCAAATAAAAAAAAAAGTGTGCGGCAATAAGCATAACGGGTCGCTTGATGTAATTTGCCTTGTGGTCCAACAGAGGACATTCTTAATATCACCGTGACCAGTTACATGTCTTGCTGACTTATCAGTAAAGTAAACCTAGTAATATTGTTTGCAAGGACAAAATATGGCATGGTAGCGAGCGGTCATTAATGATACCGGAGCGTCTCTAACGGTGTTTTGAGTTTGGAGATGCCTTAGTCATGTAGGTTGCGTTCAAATTAATTTGAATGTATTGCGTACCACTGTCACTTAGACTTTTGGGAGAAGTGACAGCCCTAATATTGCCCTTTTTCAAACACCTTTTTCCCCCCAAATACTCCCAACTTTATAATACTTTAATTAAATAGGGGGCAGCTGTGGCTCAGGAGGTAGCTTGGGTTGTATCCTAACAGGAAGAGTAGTGGTTCGATTCCCAACTTGTCCAGTCCACATTTCGAAGTGTCCTTGAGAAAAACACTGAACTCCCAGTTGCTCCTGGTGATGACACTGGTGTGTGAATTTGTGTGTTTGTGAGTGTGAATGGGTGAAATGGCCAAGTAGTGTGAAAGCGCTTTGAGTGTGCTGCAATGCATAAAAAAAGCACTATACAAGTATAAGATCATTTACCAAGACAAATACCATTTGACAGTATCAACAACATTTTTTAATTAAGCTCAATGTTCTAACAGCACGGTACTGATATCCTCTGTCCATTTATATGCATATATATTTGAGATTTTCATTGCATACAGGTTGCTAAAGAAAATAATTGTCCACTGTCCAAGCATGGGTCGATAAGTCAATATATTTAAATCTTCCTGAAAATGGCATATATGGCATGGACAAGTACAATGTTTCATAAACCTGTAAGCAAAGGCAGTAAAAGCTGAGTAAATAGCAAAGAGTTCATAGAGTTCAAATTCAGCTTAATTGCTGGTTCCCACAATCCCAAACATTTTGCTTTTAAGTGAATACAAACTGTAAAATACAGTTGAACCTATGTCTAACAAGCTGAGCCTGGCGTAACTTTAGTGATTGTGTTATTTTCTTGAGATTTAGTAAATAACAGCCTCGTCATTTTGTTTCAAGTGACTTGTTAACTAAGCCTCTTGTCTCACATTACAGGAAGGGTTGGTCTATGCTGTGGAGTTTTCCCATCGATCAGGTCGTGACCTTCTCAATGTGGCAAAGAAACGCACTAATATCATTCCAATCATTGAAGATGCTCGTCACCCTCACAAATACCGCATGCTGGTTGGTAGGTAGTCCTGAGGTTAGCAGAAGATGCTTAGTAGGTGACGGAACTGAAACATGAATAAAGCTTTACTATATTTTAGCCAGGATGAATATCAGTTCATATCAGAGCCATGTAGCCTTTTGAAAGCCCTTTTTATGGAGTACAGTCTGTCACGTGTACCATGTTCACATGCATGTTACAGTTGTTTGGTGGTGGTGTACATGCTGACAGTGTGAGTCTTATTTATTTTTCCTTCACTCAAATTAAGTTCACCCTATCATTGCTCTGTTACTGTTTCATTTGGGACCATATTGACAAGCCAGTGGTTCTATTTTTAAGACTAGACAGCACTCAGAGTGCAACCTCCACCAAGGGGCAAGTCTGTTTCCCCATCATGCCATAAAACCAGTATTCCCATGATATAGTGGGTAAAATGAGTATTTGACATGTCACCATTTTTCTCAGTAAATATTTTTCTAAAGGTGCTGTTGACATGAAATTTTAATCAGATGTCAGTAACAACTCAATCCATACATACAAAGACAAAACAAATGCGTTCAGAAATTAAGTTGTGTAATAAAATGGAATGACACTGGGGGACCACTCAAAGTTGTGTATTGAGATTTTGCGTTTGAGTCGCATGATCAGGTCATGCCATTTGGTGCGCACACACACACACACACACACACAACACTACCTCTTCTGCAGAGGTAATAACATGTAGCTGCTGTGTTCAGACTGTTATGGTTTCCCTCTCCAGGCATGGTGGATGTGATTTTCGCTGATGTTGCCCAGCCTGACCAGACAAGGATTGTTGCTTTGAATGCACACAACTTCCTGAAGAATGGAGGGCACTTCGTTATCTCCATCAAGGTACAGAGAATCACAGATAGCAGCCTTACAACTTTTAAGCCAAGTCCTAATTTCAATTATCATGGTGGTACTAGTTATGCAACAGTTAAGTCCAGAGGTCATTATAAGATCAAATTTTAATTCTAACAGGCGAGACAACATAGACTGGAGTAGTCTGGACTGAGGTGGGCTTGTGTATACTGGCCATTCTGTAATCGTTTAAGCAACAATTGACTTGGCCTAAACACTTGCTTGGTATCGTTACCCTGTAACGAGAAGCTTTTCTTGTTTTAATAGGATGCTTGTCTGAATTTTATGAGCTAGGTTCACATGAAAAAATGTTCTCTCTCATTATTAAGACATAGGCCATTTTCTTGTAAAACATGAGCCCTGCACAACCTGGAGTGTTTAGAGCATATACACTCTCCCATACCAACTTTCCACAGAGTTACCAGCATTGCTCTTAGGTGTGCTCCCATCCTGCAGAATCACTGCTCTGCTACTTAAATCCGCAAACGGTAAATAGTCCACAAAATAACACATGAATGCAGCTCATGAGCAAATACCGTGCATGTCCCAATGCTGTTTCGGGCATTACTGACACCAGGTGAAGTCAGCATGTGGCTGCTGTTACTCACACCTAGCTGTATAAGTCACAAGTCCTGAAAATTTGGACTCTAGTACTACAACACTGGCTGGCACTAAAGAGGTTAAAGAACTTTGATTTTTTTCCATCTTTGAGCAACTAGCCAGATGCTCACAAAACCGAAATAACATTGTTCACACATTACAAGACCAATAATAGTCAAAAGCAAGGCAGTCCAATCGCTCCCTGTGTTTTAGGTCTGTGCAAAAAAGATTTCTTCGTTCTTGGAATTTTCTTGTTCTAAACAATGTTTCGAAGGCAAAATGCAACAAAAGCAATGCAGGCAAACTCGACAGGAACTGAAAAGCTCAAAGCATTAGTGTTAGTGATATCAAATAGGGGCTCGTATATTAATGTGGAGCTTAAGATCAATTTTTATTGCCTTTATTTTTTGACAAATGATTTATTCATGCAACAAATACAACACATTTTTGTTTTGAGTTCAGTATGACCTACTGAATGATTTTAAACTTCAGTCTGCATAATTTGTAACTATTTTATCTTAAATATTACAAAACTGTCTATCAGTAGTTTTTACTTGTAATAATAGCCAAATTGTGATGTAATTGTTGAGGGTTTAATAAAGCCCTTAATTTTGCTGACTGTTTACGAAAAAAATGGCACTTGTATTCAGTACACACTGTTCCAAATAATTCTGCATTTTCAGCTGTATGGACTTTGATGGTGTTTTGTTTTGTTTTGTTTTAATTCAGGCTAACTGTATAGATTCTACAGCAGCTCCTGAGGCGGTGTTTGCCTCAGAAGTAAAGAAGATGAGTGCTGAGCAAATGAAGCCACAAGAACAGCTCACACTGGAGCCCTATGAGAGAGACCATGCTGTGGTGGTGGGCATCTACAGGTACCCTGACTCGATTCACAAAATGAGTGACTTAATGAACACACATATCTACAAATTTATTGTAAATTATGATTAGTTATGGCAAAATAAATTGCACAGTTTTCACAGTCCTTTACCATGATGCTGAAATTATCACTAGTGTAGCTGCTGTTGATTGAAAATGAAATTTAACCTTCCTTGTATGTGAAACTCGTATAAAAAAAAACAAAAACAAAAAAAAAAACATAGAATTTCTTGGCTTATTATATAACAGCAGTGTGTATATACCACAATACTGTACCTAAGGCAGCTCTTACTCTGGTAACAAAACAAATAAACTAACTCCATGGTGGCATTGAAACTCACATTTTTACATTTTGGTGAGCGACTTATGAAATTTAACAGGTATAAAAATTTTCCCTGGTATTTCTTGTATCATTGCACATTTATTGTAGTCCATTTAATGTTTAGTGCGTGCGTGTGTGTGTGTGTGTGTGTGTGTGTGTGTGTGT